CCGACCGTAGGGATTGGATCCCCAATTCTGGCCTGACGGCTGCATTATTACTTGTGCGCTTGGAGCATCCTAGGATGGTTTTCGCTGCTTTCATCTGCGCCGCCTCGAGTTCTTTCACTACCTTCTTATTTCCTTCCCATTCTTCTCCGGCGTACTCTAGCGGCGGTACGATGACGTTCTTCAAAACCGTCAATTTGATGCGTGTAGGGGCCCCGGGGGGGGGCGCGAAAGTAACCACTCTGCCTCCTACACAAAAAATGCACTTCTGTTCAGCTAGGTAAGGGGGTGGGAGCACCGAAGACTTCTGATGTCATGGGGGTATCGCACCATCATGTTTCTCATTGGGGCGTTTCTTACGTTGTGGCCGATATTGAGCTTTCTTCTCCCTTATTTATTTTTCGTAGAAACGTGAGCCTTTTTTTCTCAACATAATTTTTCTTCATAATGTTCTGAACTGCGGGCGCTATCTGTATTGTAGAGGGGGGAGGTTAGGCATGCATGTACATCCCCGTGCCACGACAGAGGCCAAGAAATTGAAGCCCTCTCTCGCTTCTTTGGTTTCATGCATAGTCCACACACCGCCGAACGACGAAATCAACGCGGCGCGGGTAAGTGCCTTACGCAGGCATAGGGCCGTCGTGACAGCGGGCGTGCTCCTCTTCCGTGTGCGGTAGCCATTCCGGCTAGCCGCTCGCCGTGGAGGTGAACAAGACTTGAATGACGCGGTAGGTGGAAGAAAGGAAGTCGGGCATAGTTGGGCAATTCCTCAGGTGACCGATGAAACACCCCGGGCATCATCGCTTTGAGGGCAAAATTCGATTTCCACGCAACGACAAAACGACAACGTAATTTTGCGGCGACACGGTGGCGTCGCGTTGCAGAGAGGTTTGCCGCCGACCGGTGTAGTACTGATGCGGCTGGCTGCGTTCGGACCGCATGTTCGAGCAGTGGCAAGGAACAGCAGCAGCAGAACGCGACGCAAGCACTTGGCGCCATGGCTGCAAGCTTCGTCAAATAGAGTAGGCCATGGCGGCCCGCCCGCCTTTTCTGTCTGGCGTTGACGAGGTTCGTCGATTGAATATTTGAAGCACAAAGTGTTGAGAGAAGCAGGACACGAGGGGCACCGGAACGCATCCGCTCCGTCCGAAAAGCCGGCCGTCCGCGATTGCAAACCAAATCCAATCATACTTGCGCCCTTAGTTCTCTAACCCCCCCCCCCCCCCCCCCCCCCCCCCCCCCCCCCCCCCCCCNCCCCCCCCCTCGTCCCCTACCATCATATCTGCGTCGTCACCAGCCAAAGAAGCCTTAACTATCGCTCGCAAAGGCAGCAAGAACCATGCGAGCCAACGATAGCCTCCTACAATTACTTCTTATCCGTGTGTTTCTATTCTTCGAAAGCAGCTTCCTCATCACAACGTCTCTGCTACCATCATCCTCCCCCTAGCAAAGTCCCACACATAAGGTCTACCGTTGTCCGCTAGTCGTTGACGCCACTTCACTGCAAAAGGTCCTTGTACATGTCGGAGGCTGCTTCGCCGAAGTCTCGCCCGCAAGGCCTCCTTACTGTCAAGCATCACAAAAAACACGCGACACTTCCCCTCCCCAACCCCCATTCACAAGGCAGCACGCGTGCAAAAGCGTGTGTGGAACAGGCTGCTGATGGACGGATGTGAACAAGCGCCCTTCCATCCCAAAATCTTCGAACGAAAAAAACAAAAGCTCTCGAATAATATCCCCTAGTTCTTGGCGCTGTCGATGGACTTCTTGATCGAGTCCTTAACCTTGTCGGTAACCTTGTACTCCTTCTCCAGCTCGATCCCCTGGCCAAGCCAAGATTCAAGAGGTAGGGTTAGACGCCACAAGCGGAAAAGGAAGGGTGCGTTGGTACACGCGGTACCTTCCCCTTTCAAGTGCACGAACAACGGCATGTTTTTACAGGAGATGGGATTGAGGGCCAAAGCGCGGAAAAAAATCGTCGACTACGGGTCTGCAGGGGTGACAAAATGTCAAGAACCGGATCGAATGCTATCGTAATACGGCTGATTTCGTCGGAGATAGTGTCACATGCGAATATCATGACGCGTGTTAGAAGGATGGGATTGGAAGTAAACGTTGCACGTGTTGCGGTTGAAGGCATATCTTCGGGGAACCTACTATTTTCTTGTTTTTCGGACAAGATAGCTGTTCGATACCTCTCCATTAAAACTTCAAAAACATCCATGCACCACAAGCTGGTGTCTGTTTCACACACTGCTCCTCGAAGGGTGGTGCGGGGGGGGGGGGGGG